GACTGTCTGACTGGCGCGGATGCCATTCAGGAAGCGATACAAGTTCAACAAGAACTTAATAAAATATTGCTACCATTAGGCCTTAAACTTCGCAAATGGTGCTCCAACAACGACCAGCTCTTGCAAAGAATCCCTAAAGAGGACGTTGTCAACGAAGTCAAACTAGGTGAAACATTAGAGCAATATAGCGTGAAAACGCTGGGTCTCATTTGGATGCCAAAACAAGACCAACTGCGAGGACGAACCACAAAAAGCCAAGCAACACGCATCACCAAAAGGGTCGTGTGCTCAGAATTGGCCCAAATCTTTGACCCACTGGGTCTCTTTGCCCCAGTGATAGTAAGGCAAAATTATTTATGCAATAGCTGTGGGAGATTAAACTCGATTGGGACGATGAACTGCCATTACAACTCCAAAACGAATGGATAGAGTACCGGGAGGACCTACAATCATTAAACTCAATGGAGATTCCCCGGCACGTATATGATGGAAAAGTGCCAGTCACCCAGGATCTACATACCTTTGTAGACGGATCGGAACGAGCATATGGCGCGGCAGTGTACGTACGAGCCACCTACAAAAACAATCAGGTCTCTGTACGACTATTATGCTCAAAGTCTCGAGTAGCACCCACCGCCAAACAATCCCTACCACGTCTAGAACTGTGCGCTGCAGTTTTAGGTGCCGAACTCACCAATCGAGTTAGAAGGAATCCCCATATGAATCTTGACTCAGTATCAGGAAGATTCTGGACTGATTCCACCGTTGTACTGTCCTGGATTAACGCATCAGCGTCCACATACCACACCTTCGTGGCAAATCGAATCGCCAAAGGCCAGGCATTGACTAACCAATTACAATGGCGTCATGTTTCATCAGCCAACAACACAGCAGATGACCTTTCAAGAGGAATCCTAGCAAGCAAGCTAAGGGATCATAGTCTATGGCTATACGGACCATTATTCTTGCACGGATCAGGAGATAAATGGACAAAACCACCCTTCATTGAGCCCAGCAATCTCCAGAGAAAGGCTAAGCATGTCAGCTTGCCAATCGCATCTAGCTCTCTCGGAGAAGAGTTATACACATGCAGACATAGCAACTCGTTCAACAAACTACAACGTTTTGTAGCGTACATGTTTCGCTTCTGCTACAAAACTAATAGAGCACCTACAACGACACTTTGCGCAGGAGAACTAAGGCGTCTTCGCACTATGATCCTACGAACGAATCAACAAGTTGAGTTCACAGCGGATTTCAAACAGTTAAAACGCAATAAAACAGTGGATAAAAAGAGTTCGATCATTTCGTTATCTCCATTACTAGGAGATGATGAGCTCATCCGAGTTGGCGGAAGACTCGAAGAAGCTCAAATTCCGTTCAACGCAAAACATCCAATCCTGCTACCGTACAACAATATTGGATTATCAACGACAAGATGATGGCTAGAAGCATCATAGATGCACCAGAGCCAGACCAAAGCTGATGCACCAGATCATGGGCAATCTTCCAGCACAAAGAGTCACGCAAGCACGCCCATTCCTTAATGCAGGCGTTGACTACTGTGGACCAATTATGATCCTCCATAAAATCCGAGGAAAACGGCCAGATAAGGCATACATTGCCGTATTCTGCTGCTTCTCCACAAAGGCTGTACATCTGGAGTTAGTAAGTGACTTAACCACAGATGCATTCTTGGCAGCACTCCGGCGATTCCTTAGCAGACGCGGGAGGTGTCAGACTATTCATTGCGACAACGCAACAAATTTCGTCGGCGCAAATAAAAAGCTAAAGTAATTGAAAGATGCAATATTTAGCGAAAAGGCATATGCTCTGATCACAAATCATTGCAACAAAAAACAAGTTGATTTTAAATTCAATCCTCCTCGGGCCCCATCGTTTGGCGGCCTCTGGGAAGCTGCGGTAAAATCAGCGAAAAGGCTGTTAATTACAACCACAGAAACAGCATCCTTGACGTTTGAGGAGCTGAACACAGTCATAATCGAAATTGAAGCAATTCTCAACTCCCGACCCATAACGCCAATGTCAAATAATCAAACGGATACAAGTGCGCTTACTCCAGGGTATTTCCTGATCGGTGAACCTTTGACCGCAGCACCTGACGTCAACATTCTGGTTAAGCGCTGGGAATTGGTTTCACGTTTAAAACATGCATTTTGGAAACAATGGTCTACGGAATACCTCCACGAATACAAGCTCGGCATAAATGGAACACCACCGCTCCAAACGTGACCGAAGGATTATTAGTTTTGGTGAAGGAAGACAACCTTCCAGTAATGAAGTGGACAATGGGTCGCATTATCAAAACTTATCCTGGGCAAGACAACCATGTACGAGTGGTTGATGTCAAAACATCGTCCGGTGTATACAAACGCCCCATCAGTCGTCTCGCCCCATTATTCTCAGAGGAGGTAGCAACAAAACGCTCCAAAAATGGTATTGAAGACATTGCGGAAACAGAGGAGCCACCAACACAGCGAAAAAGGTTATCTTTACCTACTTTAACATCCACATTGTAAGTGTTACTTCTCATGCTGCCATTAGCATTTTCACAATCAATAAATGTGACGCAATTTGCAAACAAGCCTGGAATATTCTATGAGAAACTTGGAACCTCAAGAAAGACCACTTCCGAATCGACCATGATTGTATACTACGACTTGGATCCATATTGGAAGAATATGCAAGTCATGTCAGCCGGAATGTCCGAACTAAGACACATGTGCCCTGAACTAAAAAATGTTCCAGCGTGCAACTCCATATATGCTTTCACACTTTATGCTAACAAGGCCTCCGACAACGCAGATCACCGCTGGATATAGTAGGAAACGTGGCACACCGCTGGTACTTGCTCTATGCTGAGAAATGGCCAAATCGAAAAGGTACAAACCAACGAAGACTTTCTCTACATCTACTACGAAATCAAACTTCAATTGTCGACTCCACAATGAACGTGATCAGGAAGGATAAGTCAGCCATGGACAACCGCCTAAAGGTATTGGAACAACAAGTGGCAACCATCAGCCGAGAAAGAGGAACATATCACGGCGATCATCTAATTCAGTCATACTTAGGGCTCACAGCACAACTAACTCTGCTGACAACGAGTCTTCAACGTATGAAGTCTGACATATCTGATGTATTAATCGGCATTCACCATCGGACAATAAGCAATAAGCCAACGCTAGTATCTCCTGAGCAATTAAGCAACTAGACCAATTCCGGGATCACTTGCCAGCTGATCAAATGCTGCCTGTCACAACACAAAATGTGATACAATTATACAGGCTCATGCGAGCCGAAGGAACACTGACTGCCACACACGTCATTTTCAAGGTGACACTACCGTTAGTTTTAACAGTTCAGCTCGAAGTTTTCAGTATCATGCCGATTCCGGTCTGGGACTCAACAAGTTGGAGCTTGTTCAATCTCAAAACGAACATAATCACTGTAAACACTCACCGAGATCAATTCATGGGATTTACTCCAGAAGAATTTCGACGCTGCTTTAAACTACTCAACGCAGAATACATCTGCTTTGATCATCAAACAGTCTTCAATGTCGACAATCGCTGTGAGTTTCAGTTGTTTAACAATAAAACAGCACCTATATGTGAAGTGACCCACACGAAGGCGGACAGGATGTGGTACAAAACTCAGCAAGCAAATAAATGGATTTTTGCAACACACTCTACAATGAGACTTCAGGCAGTTTGCAACGGGTCTCCGTCAACCATACAACTGGAAGGAACTGGCTTACTCTCACTATCACCTGGATGCACTGCTCGCAATACAGAAATAAGCATCCGTACCTTCAGCACAACAATCAGTGAAATTAAATCAACCTACACTCGATTTGGGGACATACGCTTACCAACGACACCCCCTTCGCCAGCAAACTGTACAATTGGAGAACCAGACATCAGACTATCTTCAAGAATTGGAAGATTTACGCCTGCAATTAGTGGCAATCAATCAACAAAGGCTGCCACACCATCTCAACACAGTGCAGCATCATCAAATCGCTACTTATGCTGCCCTAGCAATATCAATGCTACTGATTATTGCGTTCATTCTCCGAAAGAAGTGTCAATCATGGAACCCAAGGCCGTCAGCAATCAACCAAGCAGAGCCACGCGGATCATCACCCCCGATCCCCATTCCACGCCGCTTTTCAGTCGACTTGGGCGATGGTTGAACACCAGTTCAACGGCCGGGAGAATGTTAAGTCGCATATTTATACATTAGTTAATATCACATAATATACACTTATCGAATAAGTCAGGTCGACCCATGTAACGGGAGACATAATAACAAACGACAAAGCATTGTAGCTGAGTCAACAATAACCGCTTCTGCAGCAATTTCTGCCAGCGATCGCTCTTCAGAGGGCAAAAACACTGGTGCAATTGCTGACTATCACAATTGCCCAATAACACAATATCATATTAAATCCAAATTAATTCAATATTAATTCCAATTCCCTTTTACCATATTCTTACTAGACTCAGCACTTTCTGTACCTTTTGTTACCTATAAATAGAATTTAAGTTTTTTGAATAAAATCAGTATCAGAAACAGTACCATCACTGCCTGTTCACTCATTCTCTACAACTGCAATCAACAGAGGCTGTCGCCGTGTCTTCAGACCCTCATTTGCTCGACGTAGGAAACCCTCTCCGCAGTCCAACTGGTTCAAGTTCTAGTTGCGACGACAAATTGGTAAACGGTTTATGTACCCTATGCATACCAAAACACACACACAAACACACATTAACAAAATGTTAAATCTAGTCTCTTGTACGAACGAAACTTATGCTAGCAGCGGCCGCTCATGGGGGGCGACGCTGCCAAAATACATTCACTCATATTCTGAAGTCGCACCAGCGTACACAACCACTTTTTAAAAACTACTTTTGAACCCTGGACTTCTTATTATATATACGTTAGGTTATGTAACTTAATCTTGCCATACTTACTGTTGAATAGTTCGAAGCAGCGGTGTATTGAAAATAGTTTTAAGATCTTTAGGTCTGGCGATTGATACGGTAAATGGAACCTGGAATTAAATTGAAAGAAGTTTTTTATATGTATGTAGAAGTAGTTCGACCGTTATGAGCAAAATTATTATAGGTTAAATTGTTAACGTAATTCACTTGGACATGCAAGTAATAACAAATATTCCGCTAGGTTGTCGGACTTTTCCCAAGGACAATTATAACAAGAGGTAAATGACGCACAGTGGTGCTTTGGCCGCGGCTCACAATGTTCCGGCTCGTTCTGATCTGAGTGCAAGGCTTAGCTGCAAAATATTACGCTTTCAAGTGCTTGTTAGCGACGCAAAGTGGGGCCTAAGCCGAAAAGAGGTGGCAAGAGTAATTTTCTGAGTGAGTTCTTTGGATAATTTAAACACACCAATGTGATAGAGAATTTTCAAATGACTTTCGGAGATATGAGCATTTAAAGTTGAGAATTTTTTCACATACCTAATCTTTCAAGTCGAATAAAAAGTAAACTATGGCATGTGTGTAGTAGTTTAGTTTGTTTGATGGTAGTTTATTTATAGATATGGATGTTAAACTTAAATGTATATTTCTTAGCTCCAAATACAATTTGTGGTACAGTTTTGCTTAACTTATGTGTGTGTGACTGTCACTTACTCTCGATTCAGACTGATCTCGCTTCTTCACTCACGACTCTCTCACAGCCGAATGCTGCCAATACAGACGACGTGACGAAGCTATGACCGCTTCGTGTCTCTCTCGGTCCTTTATTATCCACAATCGGCTGTCCTGGCGGACTAATTGCCTCGGATTGGTCTAGTTAAGGTTTCATATACTCTGAAACTATAGAAGTCTTAGAGGGTCCCTCAGTATCTCCCATATTCTCGACTTCCTAAATCTCATGATTTTATACGTTAGATATTTTATACGGTCCTTGATACTTTCCTTTTTGTTTTAAGCCATTACCATACTGAGTACTCTTTATAGCTACTAAGTCATTATCCTTGTACTGTCTATCTATCTTCCCAAGTTGAGTCAAAACTCTTCTTTTACTCCTGTTGTATGTTCTCTACTACGTCCTCTCAAATTTTTCAATCTCCTTATTAAACTCTTCTATAATTAATTTTTTTAATATTTCTTTTATGTTCGGATCAATCGGAATGGGCATGTCCAGTCCAGTTAATATGTTGAATGGCCTTATCTTGGTACTTCGTGGCTCAATACTGCTAATTTGCTGTACTTTTCCTAGATGCTTGTAGACCATATATGATCCACCATCTTGTGCATCCTTTCAACTTGCCCATTTTCTCGTGGAAATCCTGTAGCAGTATTTCTGTCCCTTACAATACTGACGGAACAAATTGGAAGTAAATGCTACACCTCTATCCGTCACTTTTCTCTTCGGATTACCAAAATAAGTTGTATGAACTTCTAAACACTTAACGAACCCTTCAACGTCTGTACTACGAGTACCATACAACCAAAAAAAATTGGAAAAACCATCAACGACTACCAGTGTAATTATACTGATTTTTGGTCGTTTCCATTGATCCAACGTGATCAATGTAATGAGTTAGTAGCGGCCTGTCGTCCTTGTCTATCGGTTGCAAATTACCTTCACGTCTTCCTGACTTTTCATTGACAATGATACACTCAACACAACTACTACCCGCGATACTTTATCCATCCACACGAACGTCCTCGCTAGAATTTTAGTAAGGAGCAGATCCAGTCGAAGGTTAAACCACATCCATCCATCCGACTTGGCCACCAGGAACATATACAGGGGTGCCACAGAAATCACTAGTGAAATGGGAAAGCGCGCAGAGGATTTCCGCTTAAAAATTTCCGCCGTGCCACAGAATTCCGAGCGATTTCATTTTTCTTAGCATTGTCACAAACCAAAATCGAACTAAGGCTAGGGTTGACACCTTTCAAAATTCAATTCGAATAGAGTTCATTTTGCAGTTTTATTGGTTTTATCATATAAAAACAATTGGTTTTTATTTTTTCTTTTATGATATAAAATAATTTATTTTTCAAAGCAAAAAAACATTCCATATCGTGCGAGTCAAACAAAACAATGTACTCGGCAACTCTAACAGTTGTCTGGCAACTTTCCGTGCATGGCAGCAATCAGCTGTTAAAAGAAAAAGACATCTGAACTTTACGGTAAACTTAATTAAAATGCTTTTACCGAAACTGTTGGCCATCGAAGAACTACGGAGGCAACATATTAGAATACAAACCTTGCAGCTCAGGCTTCTGAGATGCGCATCGGACTCGTTTTCGCGTTCAGACGATACGTATGTGGTTTTTGTGATTGTCTTCTCAAACTACTGCTAATTTAGTTCATTATAATTACCAGTTTTTGGTATAATGATCGCTATGCTTCTATTTGTGCTACCATGGGTCTGCACTTAGCCGAACAGGGGGTTTTGACATAAATGGCAATAATGTGTAGAAATGGTTTGTTAGTTCTGTTTTGGCATTTTGAAGCGATGCCACCTGGTAGAACTACAATTGACGACAAATAATTTCACAATTTGCACAAAAAGTATGCACACGTTTGACGTAAAGTTAGTTTTACTGCAATGAGCTTTTTTTAATGCTTAATTAAAGCATTCTGTTTCAATATAATCAATATTAAATATATTACTCCGAATTCGACTTAAAAAAGGTGGCATTACTGTATTAACTTCGAAAATCCGAATCGCTCTAGGTGGCCACCTCGGACTGCAGCGGATTGAGCGCGGAATCGTTAAGTGAAAATTCAGTCACTCCGCTGACGCTAGTGATATGCTAAAATGCCTATTTTATTAACTTAACATGTATAATGTTAAATTATTTGGATGAGAGTTAATCACCAATTGAACAACCTTTTGGGGAAAGTAAGATTCGAATCGTTTTGGGTGTGTGTTTAAGGGTGTATTTAATCAAATCGATGGATAAATTGTGAGCGATTTTAATTCCGCTGAAAAATCGGTGTGTGGCACCGCGGAATGGAATTGAGGTGATTTTCCAGAGGAAGTGATTTCTGTGACACCCCTAAAAAAAATTCTTTTGCACAATTTCCGTTGTCATCCGATGGTCCCGCATTTAAATTAAAAAATAGTAAATAGTTCATAGAAATTGTCCCTGACCTTTAACAAAAGTTGCTAGTCAACAGTAACAGTACGTCAGGTAATTGTACTTTATTGTCTGAAAAAATGTGTCTTTTTGGGTACACAGCTATACACCAACCCACATTCGGCCATTCTGACTAAGCATTCGACCCGAATGCTTCGTTGTAATCGTCGTCGTCGTTGCCAAATGACCATGGCTTCATGTATTCTACACAAGATGAGGTGTTATTTGGGCCATCGCAGATTCCGGTCTTCTTTACATCATATGCATTGTTATGTATGACTTTGATAACTTGGTAGGGTCCCAAAAACTTTGCTTTTAATTTCAGGCCACTACCAAACTGTGTACGTTTAATGGCAACCACCAAGTCACCAACATCATATCGTCCTGCAGGTTTGCGTCGTTAATTGTAAGTCTTCTTATTTTCGTTTTGCAGCTCAACTATTTGTGCATTTGCTTTTGCTATAAGGTCGCTGCGTTCGTCGTTAAATATTGTTACTGCTTCTTCGTCAATCAATTTTCGTATCTCAAGGTCTTCTCTTGTCCGCATCTTAACTCCAACTAACATTTCAAATGGCGTCGTATCAATGCTCCTAGTAAATGTTGAATTTACAGCCTGCTGAACCTTGGTGACATGCCTGTACCACTTCTTGGGGTCGTCGATACTCAGCTTGGAGAGCACTGAAATTATGATTGCATTCAGTCTCTCTACTTGACTGCTGATTTATCCTCGGTAGTGCTGTCGTCGTCTTTACCAACTTAATTCGTTCGGCGTCACAGTAATTTACGAAGTCGGGTGAAAGCGGATCCCCTATCCAAGATTATAAACGCTGGATTACCAAATGTTATATTTTGACTGCTAAGCTTCGCAATAACCTCATTTGCAGTAGTCGATTTCGTTGGATACAGCCAGCAATACTTCGTGAATGAGTCTATAACTGCAAAGATATGTTTGTAGTCCTTGTGCGTCGAATCCAGTGGTCACAAGAAATCAAAATGGTAAGTGTGTAATGGAACTTCTTCCTTCTGAAGTGGGTGTAGTAGTCCTTCCTGCTTGCCTCGCTCTCGATTCATCAAAATACAGGGAATACAGCACTCTATATATTTCTTTATCTTCTCTTCAGCATTTGGTATAAAGTATTCTCTGCAAATCAAGTCCTTCGTCTTCTTGGCTGCGAAATGACCTCTGTCATGTGCACGACTAATAATTTGCTTCTGCATGTCAATGGGTACTACAATAAGTTCATCGTCCTGTACAAGTCTATATAGCAAACCAGATTTCAAAATATAATCGTCGTAAGTCTTCTGTGCATCGTTGAGAACTTGTTTTATAGCCTTAATCTTTTCGTCTTTCGCCTGTGCATCTTTTAAAGCGATACTTATGCTGTCCTCCTTTATCATCATTATTGGGTACCGCCTAAGAGCCTCGACATGCTTCATTCTTATTCCTGATCGATGTTCTACAGCATAATCGTACTCCTGCAAGAATTAAATCCATCGCGCAACTCTAGTACACAAGCTTTGCTTCTCCAACGTCTTTGTAAAAGCATCGCAGTCTGTTACTAGTTTGAAATGAATGCCTAAGAGATATACTCTAAACTTGTTTAACGCTTCTATCACTGCCAAAATCTCCAATTCGTAGATGCTATATTTCCGCTGTGCATCAGTAGTCTTTTTGGTTATATAGTAGACTGGTTGTAGCTGTCCGTCCTCCGGCGATCTTTGTAACAAAACTGCGCCAAAACCATCAATCGATGCATCTGTATGAACTTCTGTATCGTACGACTTATTTTAAATACTCAATACTTATCTTATTTATTTTATTTTATTATTTTTTGTCTACTCCGTTAGTGGTCGAGCTATGATGGCATAGTTCGAGATAAATTTTCGAAAATACCCGGTCAGTCCGAAGAAACTCTCTATTTGTTTG